ATTTCAAGTTAAGATACATGACTTACAAAGTCAACACGATTTAGAGGTCTTATAAAATATAACCATATAGCTCTTAGTTAAGAATATATATAGAGGCAAGACTAAAGCCTTTTTCACTCTTGTCAACGCCTTTTTAGTCTTTGGTCTTGTTTCAAGACTTTCTACTCTTCTTGTCTTTGGTAATAGCCATTCTAATTTAATACTATATCATCTTTGAGTGATTTTCTTATCTTTTTGAGTAACATAAGAGTATATTGATATTTTAGTTTTTTCAGATTCATGTCCTTGACAGAAGCTATTATCAAAGAGACAAATTAAAAAAAGATGCATAAAGTTGTGAAATTTGTGTCAAAAGGAAAGTGAAAAAATAGAAGAAAGTATGTATATTTAAGAAAGAACTCGAATGGCTATTGCTAAAGATTAGAAAAAATAAGACTCTTGAAACTAGACTAGAAACCAAGAAAGGAGTTGACAAGAGTGAAGAAGGCCTCACTCTTGCTTCTATATATACTACTTAACTAAGGAATATGTGGTAACATGCTAAAGGACCTCTAATACATATCCAACTTGCAAGATGCATGTCTAATTTGCAAGACAAGTTTCCTAGATGTGCGCCATATATCCAACTTGTACTACAAGTGCTCGACATGTTGACATGTGGCCTCCTTGTTGGCCAAGTTTTCAACCTAACAATCACCTATAGACATCTATAAAGGAAAAACAGCATCTATGAAGTTTTTAGGAAGCTATCCACAAGATATTATCATATTTATCTACTTTGACTTACTTCTACTTATTTTTATTATCTACATAATTATCAGGATAAATATGTATGTCTATGATAGCTATAGAGATACTACTTTAACTTTATATGTATTTATAGTTAGTTGATAGGTTAGAACCTTGATCAATAATTAATCACATGCTACATATATTATTAGTTTAGAGAACGAACTAATTATATGGCGTTGTCATGATGTAATACAACTATATAGTGAAATTATAATCAAAATTAAAATTTTAATTAATATCTAATTATCTTAGTTTAATTATAATTTGAGGTATCTAAATATGACTTTTATAAAAGCCTCTTAGGTTATTTTCTTATCTTAATAATTAGTAGGTTGAAGGTTAGTTAGTAATTTTTCCTTCTAGGTTGTAGAGACTCTTCTACTACATTAGAAAGACCATAAATTGATGAAATCAGGTTAAAAGAGGTAAATAATTAGTATAGTTGGTACTAGGATTAAGTTGAGAGTAGGGTTGGGCTAAAAAGTCCTTAGGATAGGATAGATTGATACCCGGGGGTCAACCGTTTGTGAGACATGGTCGAAAATAGACCTCTAGCCACTAAAACGACGGCCTAAGGCAAAATAGGGTTTCATTTGAAGATCGAAGGTTAGGGTTTGAGAGCTAGCTTGAATTTCTTTTCAGAGACATAAGAATTATTTTGAGAAGGTTTTGGAGAACTTAGCAATTTTTATTCAAAGTCATGGTTTGTATCAGTGATTTGGATTTTATATAATATAATTAGAGCTAATAATTTTGGCTAGTTCGTATAATTGGCATGACATCTATAGTTGAAAATTTGATATTATTTGGATTATTAGGTGTGCTAAGTGTATACAAAATTTTGTGATAATATAATAGCGTGGTTTAGAGATATCTAGTTTTTAGCAAAAGAGGATTTTAGAAGGTTGCAATTTGAGGTTGGGTAGGGTTTCTATGGTATCTGAAGATCTATCGATTGGATTAAGGTAAAAATTGGCATGATGTTGGAAGACTTAAATATCAAGCTACATACCAATTTTGAGACAAAGTTAACGGTTGGAGAAGGAGAAATCATTGCTGGAATTTCTGCTTCACTTTTCAAGTTGGCGGTTGAGTGACATTGGTGCAATTTTTGGAGGTTTTCTCACAATTTGTAAGTTGGATTGGGCTAAAAATTCTTGAGAATTTAGAAGACTTGCATTAAAAATTGCATGCAAAATTCAACATCAAGTGGATGGTCGGATAGGATGTTATAGCTTATTAAAGCTCACTGATTAGGATTGGAGTTTATAAGAAAAATCTAAATTACTTAAATATGAAAGTAACAAGGTAATTGGGATTTATGTATAGTTAAGACTACTAGGAAGAGTGTTTTAAGCACTTTTGAATTGAAATTCAGATTATATTCTTCTTGTATGGGCAAAACCTATTAGGGTTTCTTGGCTACTTGTGAAACATAATCTCACCTTCTACAGTTATGTGTCCAGTGCATTCTTGAGCAAAACAACTTATAATATGACAGTGTCCATATAGAATACTTACTTTGCAAGTTAAGATATATATTGTATAAAGTCAACATATTTTGGAGGTCCTATAGAACATCACCACATAGCTCTTAGGTAGATAGTATACATAGTAGCAAGAATAAAGCTTTCTTCACTCTTGTCAATTTCTTTCTTGCTTCTAGTCTAGTTTCAAGAAGTCTCTAGTTTTCTTGTCTTTTAGCAATAGCCATTCTAATTTCTTTTTAATATACATACATTCTTATTTCTATTTTTTCATACTTCTTTAAGAAAGTCTCACTTATTTATTTGCTTTTATTAAGTTTTTATCCTTAATAGTATGTTACTTAAGCTATGCCTCATCTCCATTTGTATTCTTATTGATATATTTAGTAGTCTAAATCAGATATGCACCTTGCAAAATCCAACATCCTTTACTCTTCCTTCTTCATAGCTCATACCTTGTGCCTTGCAAGGAAGAGGTTGTGACCTAATTTGACTTTGGTGTGCAATTGCAATTCATCTTCTTTGTGGAAGCAACACTCATTACCACAACATTTTGCCTCAAGTATTTAGTAGACCATCAATTGATTAGACCAATGCATGTTGTATCCTCAATATATGAATTTCTTCATGCACATGATTGTACTTTGAGCTTGCATTTTTCTCAATATTATGCATTTGTGCATAATCTTTTGATATGATCTTTTGATAACATTAATGTGGTTCTATTGAGACCATATAAATTCAAGTTTTGCTTCATTTTTGGTGAAAACTTTTAATGAAACAATAAAGCATGCAATTGATTAGAGATGGTTTTTGTCTATTCTTGTTTATCTCGTTGGTTTGTCCCCCTACAATTGTTTTATATAAAAGATGATATGTTTTAAAAATCTTTCTAATAAATTTGATTATTTATTGGCTTGAGGTGATTCTAATAGACTAGATCAAAGTATACCAATACTATAATAAAAAATTAGAGATTCACATCTTTTATTTTATATATATATATATATATATATATATTATCACATTTCGAAAATAAAATAAATGACATTAATTGCCACTAGTATGCCATTAACCAATAACTCCAAACCTCCAGCAAGTCGTTCAATTAATAACAAATTATATTTCTATGAAAAGCAAGACCTTCTACACTGTCACTACACCAAAAACATATGAGAATCACTAAATTTAATTACCAAACCTCTGTTGCATATCATCATTAAAGAATCCAGCCATATTTCGTGAAATCAGATTCCATACATTCAGAAGTGGAATACATCTCATTTACAACTTCATTGCAAATTGTAGAGTTAGATGTTTGCATTTTGTAGAGTAAAAATGCATTTGCAGTGAAACAAGTGAGCAGAGCACTAACACAAACAGAGAGCATGCATGCACTCGAAGCAGCGTCGCATCACATAACACACCTCATCGCATGAGACGAACTTCACTAGGGTTTGTTAGTTTTGTTTGCGGATCGAGGAAGAATGCGCACGAGGTAGGAGAGCAAGGTCAGAAGCACCGATCGTATTCCTGAGCAGTTTAGTGAAGTTTTTCGTGCCATGTCTTTAAGTTTTGGAGAACTCTTCGAAGATATTGCAAAAGATATTTGAAGACGGAGGTTCTTAAGACCGCAAGGAGTAATTTATTACGGCTTTGGTATGAAGATCATGCAGCCCCGTAGAATTGACGTGGAGAGACGGAACCACGATGAGATGCTTTCGTAGTCGAAGGCATCGCAAGCTTCCTTTGCTTGGCTTGGTGTAACTGTTCCCCTGAGGAGCCGGAGGATGCCAGGTTTAGATGAATAGCCCAATAGATAATGTATTTGTGTCTCTATGTAGCCTTTTTCGATTGCAATTCTGCGATTGATTGTTTCCAGTCTCCACTTGGTCGGTGTAAGGATATACCTGCAGCTCCCCGTGTGGTCGCTGCAGGTTTGTGAGATGCTTTGTTTTCATGGTTTTGAAAGCGTATCTCTGCTGCTGTTGATGTTCCTACATTGAAAGCGTAATCAAGTGTCGTTTCTTTTGTTCGGAATGATAGTTTCAATCTAACCCGCCGGAGCAGGTTCTTCATACACTGTCAAAATCGTTTGCACGTCGCAAGGGATGCTACATAAACTGCAAGATTTATCTCATTTTCAACGTGGATTTCATTTCCTGTAGAAGGGCGGCGTCTTTGGATAGTGGTATTCATAAGTTTTGATTGTGCAGCCATACAAATCTTTCACGAGCTTTATCATGCCACTACAGGCGTTATATTCCCGCACAATCCGAGGAGCTGAGAGAAAAGCAAAACTCCTAAATCTTTGGTCAATAGATGAGGCCAAGTAACTGCCGTGCTCCAGAAACCTTCAGAAAATATCGTCGAGTTCTGGAGATTGTGAACATTTTTTTGTGAGAGGCTTTCACTGGCATGAATCCTGAATGATTCGCATCGAATATTTCTAGGGGATGCATATGCACAAACATACCAGCAATCAAAGAATGCTGTGAATCTAAAACATTCGAGCTCACTGGAAGCATCGGTAGACTGGCACTTAAAAGAGGAGGTAGAAGAAGAGAAAGCACCAGTCAACTCACTTGCAAACTTGGCAGCAGCAATGGCTTTCAATTTGACCTCTACAGGCGCCAAAAGTCGCTGGAACACATCGGAACATTTGGTATTTGTGAGGTTGCTTGTGTTAAAATATAAATGCGATAAGCTTTACGAAGTTTTTATGTACAAGTGTTGTGCGTTGCTGTGAGAATATGTGAACAGTACGAATTATTCGCAGGCGTTTTATGGGGTCTGCCATGCTGTCATTGGACACATGGCCTAGTTAATGTCTATCCTGAGCATTTGTTGGGGGCAGTCAGAGCAATCACGGACACATTGTTGTTTTCGGAACTAGCAAGCTTTTCTTGACCTCTTTGCAGGTCGTCGTTTTCCCTTACGTGGACATGCGGCAGTACTATAGTTAGGTGCCGTGTTGTGGTATAATTTGCTTGAGAGGATGAAAGGAACCTTTGTGGGCTCTGGTGACGTTTGTGCATCTGGCGAACTCGGAGCTTTACTGCATCAAATCGTAGCACTCTAACAATTTTGATTAATATTTTTGAATTTAAGAGAGAGATAGATAGATAGAGAGAGAGAGCCAGAGAGATTCGCACAGTCGGTGACGTATGTTTCAGAAACAATGTAAATGTAGCGTGAGGGAGCGGTGAAGAGGAGGGATATTGTGGGGTGGAGGGTTTTGTTTGGTGTCTTTGGCGGAGTAGGACACAGAGGCGACATCATGAAGGTAGATGGCGAAGGATTTGAGGTGATGGGGGAAGAGAAATCAAGAGATTGTGCCGTGGAGGTTATTAATGTCTGGTCTGGCCCTCGATCACTCAGTACCAGCCTCATGTACTCATTTGCGCAGGTAGTTTCTCATCTTCCTTTGAATAATTTTGCTAGTGTTCATTTTGGTCGATCCTGATTGTTGGGTGAACGGGATTTCTACTCAATCCCAAATATTGATTAAAATTCCTCCTGATAAATTTCGTCTCTTCGGAGCAATGCCCAGTCTTGACTGTTGATTTACCACTCAACTGGTTGTCAGTCAAGAGAGGTCTACATATGTCTTGATTGCTGAGTATAAATGTGGATCATCCTGAAGCTTGTCTTCCGCATATTTGAGAAGGTGCTTTCTTCCTTGGTCGTCTTTGATTGTCCTTTCAGTGTTCCATACGGAACTAAGATAAACCTGAGTATCGTCGTAAAGTTCGGCTAAGGGGTCATGCACTCTTCTACAAACTATAAGTCAACTTTGAAGAGGCAGCTTTAACTCGACCTCGAATTTTGTTATCCTGTTCCACTATTGTATTGTGATGGCCAGTAATCCTAGTAATTTAAGTTATTAATAGTAACCACTGCCTCCTTATGTCTGTGCCTAGCTTTCATTTGTATCATTGGACTATCAATTGTCTGATAATCTTCTTACCTTCACCGCAAATGTGCAGCGCGATGACACAGAGGTCCTGGACGAACCGCTTTATGCTCACTATTTGCGTCTTAAACCTAATGTTTGTCACCCTTCACAACAGGAGGTGCTCGATCAAATGGTGAGTGGAAAGCTGCCCCAGCCTCCAGTAACGTAAGGAATGATTGAATTTTTAGGAATATTCATTCCGCAGGGGATTACAGTTTCTGCTGTACCCTGGCTTAATAGAATTTTTTTTAGATGTGTGTCTCGAGTGTTAACAAACCATGATTCTGCTAAGCCAAGGTCTATTAAGCCGTTCATATTTGCACTGTTCACTTACCAAATGTTTCTGTGGTTTGAAGGAGAATGATGGTAACAAGGTTGTGCGAGAAATAATCCATGGGCCTTGTAAAAAGAAGTATCGTTATGCTAAGGTAGCTGTACATTATCCTCCTGAGTTGTAAATATGGCATTGAGGCCTCTACCCTCTATCTGCACAGTAAGTTACATAGTATATTGACAATGATCGATTTCGTTATCCGATTTGTGGCAAGGAGATAAAAGACACTGGAACACGTATCGCAACTTGTAATTGTGGAATTGATTCTGTTACATCTTTTTTTTTTATTTTTCCCTTTTTAAATTTTTCCATGTCTGGTGTACTTTATTTAAATGTCAATGGCAGCACATGGCAAAGCAACGAACCCCTTGCCTGACAAAAGAAGTACTCCGTGGACGCCACGTTCTCCTTATACGAAACCCTCTGGAATTTTTGGTAAGTTATTTCTTACAGCTACAAGATCTAAAAATTTGCGGAGTGTTAGTGCCATGCGGAGTCACGATAGGATAAGAGAACCATTTATTACTCACTCCATATATACACCTGTTTCGAACAGCCCTCTTTTGACAAGGTGCTTCAAGAAGAGATTCCTGAGTTGGAAATGGTCCATCTAGCATCACTGTATATGGAACTCCGTTCTATGCATCAAATACCACCTATAATTGATGCTACGGATCTAAGGCGCGACCCAGAGGTACTACAACTATTCTTTTGATGAATTCTTTCTATTAATAACTTTCTCTGGATTTCTACCGCAAATTCGATTTGTTGCGTGGTTGATGTCAAGTTCAGCCCATGTGACGAACAATATTCCATACTGCTAGTGAATCATTTAAATTTTTTTATTTTACAAAGATGCAACATATTTACAGTTTTCATTCCACGTGTTTGAGTGTGTTTTGACAAAAGAAAAAATCTTAATCTCTTTGTGATCATCTTTACGTAGAGCTGTGCGTTTCATTTTGATATTCAATTTTGATTGCAAAAGGGTCTAACTATTCAGCAATCTGCTAATGATCAGGGTATGCTTCGGAGTCTATGTTCAGCAATTGATATTCCATTTCAGTCATCAATGCTGAGGTATGCACCTCTATTTGAACTGTGAGTTGCGAGCATACTCGCGCAGGCTAACACTCACATGCATTTTTACTGCTTCGCAATTAACTTATGCTGCTTCCAGCGTCTTTGATGTTCAATCTCCTCAGCGCTAGCGTATTACAACCAGTCATTATTGAACTTATATCTACAATTTATTTTAGATATTCATATGTCTGCATGGCACGTGAGTGGGAGTCGCTTGTCTTCGGGCGTGGGCTTCGGATTGGCTTAATCATTGGACAGATCTTAAATGGTGACAGTTGAGAAGTCATTACATAGCCAAAATGACTGAAAAAGCTGAGTTGGGAAGAATTATACTGTTATATGGTCCGATGAGGTGAATACAGCATTATGCACATGCGACCTAGTTTATCTTCTTTGTCGCAAATGTTAAGGTGGAGCTTAGATCACTATTGTACATCAGCTTAAGTTTCAAAAACTTCAAGCTGATCATGACCTTGGCAGTTGGAAAGCGGGTCCGAGACCAGAAGATGGTGTGTGGGCACCCTGGTGGTATTCAAGTGTTCATAAGTCAACAGAGTTTGTTTCACCTCCACCATTTGCAAACAAGGTTTCATACTGTTAAAATTGAATGCGTGAAAATCCTAATGATTACAATAGTTAGCTGTTCCATTAATATAGAAGAGGGTATAGATTGAGGAGGATAGAGGTGTCTCAAGGTTCTGCAAACTGTGAATATTTTTCCTTTACGTTGCACGGCCCGACTGTTGGTTTTTGAATATCACTAACTGCTGATCACAATACCCTCTCCAACAGCCCTTCCCTAAGAGACTTTACAAATTACTGGAACAAAATCAACCCTTCTATGACTTTTTGAAGCGGGAGGCTATACTTCCCATTCCAGCTCCTGCTGCCCCCCCACCACTGCCTTGTTTGGATAATAAGGAGCTATTTGTTTGGGTTAACGGACAGATACTTCCCCGTAATTCTGCCAAGGTTAGTGATGACAATTCTATTGCTCCCTTTCGAAATAACTCAGGAACTTTAGTAAGGTCTCTATTTTATATTCAGGTGTAAGTATGTTTAAGCACTTGGTTGAGAAGTTTTGAATGACGAGTTGTTTTTAGTAGTGCTTATCAGACATCATTTTCTTGGATCAGGTTTCTGTATTTGATTCGATTGTGCAAGGAGGAGATGGAGTGTGGGAAGGACTTCGGATTTATAAGGGTAAAGTGTTCAAGCTAGAGGAGCATCTAGACAGGTACATTCGCATGATCAAAACATTTCACTTGTTACCTGCATCCAAGATGACTTTCAGATAAATCTGATTTAGTATTTGTGGAAATTGCAGGCTTTTTGACTCAGCCAAAGCAATGGCTTTTGCCAATATTCCCAGTCGTGAGGAGGTGCGTCTAATAGCTCTAGTTTTATTCAAGGGTTGCGTGTTTGATGGGCTGTGAATAAGCTCAAAACTGTTTTTACTCTGTTATTCAAAAGTGACATTTTATTTTGTTTTGTTTTTTGTTTTTTGTTTTTTGTTTTTGTTTTTGTTTTTGTTTTGTTTTGTTTTTATTTTTTTCTTCCTGTGGCTGTGGCTGTAGCTGATTTCGTTTCTATAGTAGCGGGGCCAATTTGTGTAAATGTATGTCTTCAGGTGAAGCGGGCTGTGTTTGCCACCCTCATAGCAAATGACATGCGTGACAATGCACATGTCCGGCTAACACTTACTCGCGGAGAAAAGGTGGGAGTTTATACCAGTTACCTGTGGCAAAGCACATTGTTGTATTATTTCTATTTCATCTTTATGTCTTAAAAGTTCTAGGCATTGTATGTGCAACGTAGTGTATATAACGAAGTTTTTAGATACGTTTCCGTGTTATTCTGAGGCTCAGAGTCTTTGTCATTGACAGTATTGGTGATGTCCTTGCAGACTACCTCAGGAATGAGCCCGGCTTTTAATGTATACGGATGCACTTTAATTGGTTGGCACTTCTCCTCATCAAATATTGCTCCTCTCGACTTTCACTGTCTGTACTGTAACACGAGAATACTGAGATTCATGCTCTTTGATTTGTAACGCTACTGCAGTACTGTCGGAGTGGAAGCCACCTGTCTACAACAACACAGATGGCATACGCCTTATCACAGCATCAACTCGTCGCAACTCTCCCAATGTAACTCCCTACTTGAAGTAATGACTTCCTCACATAGACACGAAGCAGGTTCCTGTTCTTTTCCAAAAATCTAACCGGAATTGTGTTAGCTTACTTCCCATTAAAATTAATATTCGCTAAGTTTTATCTGCTTGCAGAGCTTGGACTCGAAGATTCACCACAACAATCTCATCAACAATATATTAGCCAAGGTTTGTTCGCTCTAGTACAGAATCAGCATTTGACCTAGATATCTCGATTTTTTCAATGCCTCGAAGGATTCTGTAATGTCTGAAATAACATTGAATTGTTTCCGTTCTGAAAATACTATCTTACAAGCTTGTGGATGTGAACTCACATCTACTCACCGGCAAACTTTCTCTCTGGGCAATACTGGCATGGCAAACAACTTAATTTAGGATGTGTTATATTGGTCAATGAATTGTTCTGATGCTTTTGATCCAGGTGGAAGGCAATATAGCCGATGCAGGAGACGCTTTAATGCTGGATTGTGGCGGATTTGTTGCTGAAACGAATGCCACCAATATTGTGAGTGTTTGTCTATGCGTCCTGCAGCTTTCCGATGCTGTTGACTGGACGTGTTATTTATCTAACCTTTGATACAATATCAATCTAGTAAAGGGTATTTTCATCAAGTGCAAACATTTACTCAGGATCCTATTACTGGTGCCTTGTTCACCTAATTGATTTGGCAGCGGTTAGTGACAATCTGACATGTCTGAGTTGTAGTTTATGGTGAAGAAAGGACGAGTTTTGACACCGCATGCTGACTACTGTCTACCAGGCATCACACGCGCTACAGTGAGTACTTTTTTCAGAGACAATTGCCCACTAAAGTTTGTGGACAGTTTCGACTCAGAGTGCTTGTTATCAAAGAGCATTTCATGACTAAGGATTTCTCTCAAACTTCAGATGCACCTCCTTGCTGATCATTAGTCGGCAATATATGTTCATACTTCATGTGTCTTGTACAGGTAATTGATCTTGCTCGCCGAGAAGGGTTTCCTATGGAGGAGCGCAGAATTAGCCTTACGGAGTTTCACACAGCCGATGAGGTATGATGACAAATTACACTGCATTGCGTGCTGTATCTACTGCTTGAGTTTAGCTTAGTGTTTGAAGTTTGATGAACGTTTATGGTTGATAATGTTTTGGTATTACGATGGTGCAGTAGCAGTTAAGTCTTACTACAAAAACATTCATATCATGATTCTTCTCTTAGAAACTTGAGCAATCTGGTGCTAATGACTTCAAAAAATTATGCTAATCAATATACCATGAGTTTTCCGTACTGTTTGATTACATTCTTATATCTTTTATTGCTGGGAAATGTTTTAGGTGTGGACAACTGGTACGATGGGAGAGCTGACACCTGTAAGTGAGGCGAATTCCAAAGGAACTATTTGAGACTTCCCAAGGATACTGCCTTGAGAGCTTGAAATTCTTTTACGTGTTCCTGAACCAAATTTTGATTCCTTAAACTTGAGTTCTTACTGTTAATTTAATTGCGTATGCACATCAGGTTACTGAGATCGATGGTCGGCAAATTGGAGATGGCAAAGTGGGCCCTGTAACAAAATATCTTCAAGCTGCTTACTCTAAGCTGGCAGAATCTGAAGGTGAAATCATCCCTTTTCGATGAGAGTCAACCTTCTTAAGTTCATCTGCAACGTACTTGGAGTCATTTTAGTCAGGTTTATGTTTAAATTGGTCATGCTAGATCAAATTCAATTTCTTAAAACAGTGAATACAAGTTGAAAAAAGGCCTTGTATGGAGTTAAATGCATGCATTCTTGGGATCAGTGATCGTTTAGTTGTAGCGCGGCATTTTCGCGTTGCCATAGTCCTTACTAGTTCAATTTCTGGATGCATGGTTTGTAGTTTCTGCAAGGTATAGCTGTGACTGTGTTATTCAATTAGCTTCAACATCACGCTCAAGCCGTTTTGGGTGAATATTGATCAACATTTGAAAGGACTCTCACTTGGTTTTCATCTTGAAAACCATGGGATTTCGTTTTGCTGGTTGAAAGATGTAATCACAGCTATGATTTGGGAAGTGTGTAGCCATAAATGTCTTCAATATTCATGCAATTCAGAACTCATGTTTTACTTCGCAGTTTATGATCCCCGTATGGTCTCATTTGTGCAATAATTCCTAACCACAACATGGATGTGAGTTGTTTGGACTCGCATTTGAAATACTGCATCCTGGTATGCTGAATGTACTTCTGAAAGTGCAACTTTCGGTCGATTATGTCTAGGTTTCAGGAATCAACCATAAGAGCAGAGAAGTTAACGGAGGGTAATCTAAAGACAACTTTTAAGTTTGCCCCAAAACTCATAGAAATAAGCACCCAAGATTCTGAATGACATGTATCAAGCCTGGATTCCAGGAGTTGCACATGTATATATATATATATACACACACACACACACATACATATATATATATATGTATATGTATATATACACCGTTGAATCGTTTCAAGGAATCACAGTCAAATCACGATTCTAAACATGATAATTGGATCTTATCACAGAAATATTTCCCAACTCATCTCATGCCAGCAAAACCAAATTTTAATAAAAGCCAACTTATTCTAGATTTGGAAGCAACAAACAATTCTTCATTACAGTGCATGTCGTGCTTTAGCCTTTTGGTAACATTATGAATAATGCCAAGAATCTTCAGATTAGTGAAAATCATGAAAGAGATCCGGACATAAGAGAGAGCAGGGGCAAAGTTCTCACTCATCCACATCCAATACAGACTGTTCATAGATTCCTTGGAAATCTTATTAGTAAAACAAAGAAAATATTACTGCTCTTGCTCCATACAATACTACATATTTTATATATTAGTTCAGTATAGTATGTGTAAGATGTCTTAACGTTTTTGTTTTGTGTTTTTTGTTTTGTATTTTGTATTCTTTTTTCTTTTTTCTTTTTTCCCCTTCTTCTTCTTAAATACATGTTTCTTTATTTAATCTAATAATGTTTCTTGTTATTTATTGTGTTGAATTGTAAATCTTAAAAGTTAAATAAGTATTTATCAAAAAAGTCATGCCATACTAATACTTATAGTATTTAGCTTCTTGCAATCTTGTACAATCATCATAATAGATTTTGATATTTTATGAGACAAATTTTTAAGAAAGAGTTGATAACAATAATCTCTGTAGGTTATAATATATATATATATATATATATATATATATACTCTTGTGAAAATATTTGTGGAGAAAAAGTCATTTATCCATTATATGATGTTAATGCAAAGAAGTAACCGTTCTTTACAAAATATTAATATATGAAAGAGGAAAACATATATTTTGAGAAAAATATTTTTTTAATTATGAATTTAACTCTAAAATTGGATGTTGAGCTAATCTTGGTCTTTGATTCAGATCTTAAACTTCTTTTAAACAAAATTCCTGTTTTAGACCTAAACTTTCTGTTGGATCTTATTTGTAGTTGTTGTGTTGGCCTCACTAGCAAACCCCTTCTGGATTTACCTAACTGATAATAATACAAATATTAGTCAAGGTTTTTGTTAAAACTATGAATCTTCCAGTTAGATTATATCTTCGTAAAACCAATAATATATATTATTTTAGGATAAGATGTTTTCTATTTTAAGCTCGTTATACTATTTGTGGGCATTGGAATTTCTATTTCCTATAAACTAATTTTCCTTTTGTTTTATATTTTTTTCTGCAGAATGTTTTTATATTTCAAATTTTTAAATCCCTACTATTTAAAATTAAATTTTTATTTTGAAGAATCTATGGTTTATGATTTCCACCAATTTAAATGGTCGTTAATCAAAATCTCAACTTTATGCATAAATTTATTCAAAGTGTAAATTTTATTTCCTACTAAACACGGTGTAGACTTACATACGTACAGTTAGATACCCAAATCCTTCACTTCTCAGTCCCAAACTCTTCAACCCAACAGTGTCCCCACAGTCCAATCCCCAAACACACAACCCCACTAACTTACACAAAGCTGAGTGAAAAAAAATCCCTTTAAAAAATATAATAGAAAGAGGAGGATTCTAGATGAAGACGAAGGCAAACTCGTGAGTAGTGAGAAAGGGAGGAGGGGTTGACTAGTCATCTTCTGTTCCCCCATCGGTAGCTAATAATTTGCATCGCCGAATGTCGGCCGCAGGATCAAGCCCACGACTGCGCAATTACTGTGTTAGTTCTGACAAGTGGGGGATGCTGAAGTCAACCGGCGCAGCTGGGATCGGACCCGTTGCCGTTCTCGGACTTAATAAAATTTCACATTTTATAACGGAGCCCAGTTGGGTTAATGGGGTGGGGTGGGTCCACTAGATTGGATTTGCTTCATTTGCCACTAGGCTTGCCAGGTAGGTATTCTTACCGCCGCTGCTGGCAATGATGGTATGGGGGATATGCACTTAAAGTTCGGCGGTGATGGTATTGACGGGGTGGTGGTGGTGGACTAGCTATAGTGTTGGTGAAGAAGACGACGTTGAGTAGTGGTACAAGGCAGCAGCAGCAGAAGTGGGCTTAGTTGTTGCGAGAGCTTGGACCTCGTGGTTTGTGTTTTTTTCTTAAGGGTTGTGAGTTTCATTTTGATTTTTTGGGGTGTGTTTCGTGTTGCGTTGCGGAGAATGCCAATAGTGTCGGTAATCGAGTAGTTTTGTTGAATGCGTGTTGGAAGGAGGGGCGGTTTTTGCGCTGCGTGTGGTTTGTTTCGGAGGGGCGTTGCTGGCTTTGGCGGAGCGGTCGTTGCCTCTGCTTGGAAGCCCTGGTGAGCTTTACCTGGACCCAATTCTTAACGTTTGTGGTTTTGTGATTTTGTTTTTTGCCTGTGAAGTTGTATTCGTCTCACCGGTCGGAGATTTGGTAGATTCATGTGCGTACGATGGAAACTGGCTCTTTCGCGCTGACGTTCTCTGCTTAAACTGTTTGCATTTGAGAATGCATAAAAGGGAGTTGTTATGATCTAATCTGTTCCCGAGGTCTTTATAATAGAGTTGCGACACTTGCTACCTTAATTCTTTATCTAATTGTCGGTGCCCAGTTTTAGATGGCCCAGCTAATAGTTAGGATGTGTAATTCTCATTGTAGCAATTAATTCGTTCCTCCCTCTCTGCGACAAAATCTCTCACCACGTTGAGAGGGACTAAGGACTGGTCAACGATGGCAGATGCTACTCTACGCGATCTAGTGTTGCTCCCTCCTTCGCACACTTGAAGGTTTATCTGACGACAGTCACTAACCATCTCGTGTCGCAGTAAATAAACGTCGCATTTTCTACCTAGGCCTAACCACATCACTAACGGCCTCCGCTACAAATGGCAGTGCTCTGATCAATTCGTGAATTTGAACTTGTTTGTTCAGGTCGACTGACTCCAGAGACCGGAGCTCAATTGATTGAAGAGGACTAGGCTATGACCTTGCCAGGTAGCAGAAGGAACTAATTGTGATTGAAGAGGTATCTAATGAGGAAATAAATCCGCTGTCTGCGAGGATTTACTCAACACGATGGGGATGAAGAACAAGGCACCTGGGCTGTCGACAGCTGAAGCGCTATACCCTCCACCACATCGCCAACTTAATGGAAATAATCAAGCTCCCTCTCAAAAAGTTTCTATGGATAAGATGTCATATGCACCCGGGGGTGCCATGCCGGGACTTCAACCTGATCAAGCTCTATATCCGCCACAGATGCCACAGCTGGGAGCTGGTGCAGGGCAATATCAGCCAGGAATTGGCAGTCAGTTACCTCCACCTTCTGTTCAGAATGGTGCTGCTGGGAACTATCACAATGCGGGTGGTGCTCCTGCTACAAATAACCTCACCCAGCCTGTGACGAAGCCTACTCCAGCCAATGCAGTATTTGGCAACGGGTATCAAACAACAGGGCAGCAGCAAGCGTACACTCCGCAGCGTCAAAGCGTGAGTGGCGCTCCTGTGAAGAATGCGAATTACCAAGTTCCAGCCGCTGAAGCTCCAGTGAGATATGGAATGCAGGAGCAGGCCAAGAATCCAGCTTCGGCGCGTCATCAATCTGCCTCATCGCCTGCACCAAAACCTTCTGCAACCACTACGAGCTTAACCCGTGCATCGAAACCTCCTACAAGAGCAGTCCCTCAGCGCCAAACTCCTGCACCACAACCTCCTGCAAGCGTAACATCTCAGAGACCAACTCCTGCTCGCACACAACGAGCTGAGGATTACGCTCCTACAACTCAGCGTCGGTCTAGCGCAGTAGGAGGGGGTGGCCGAGGAGGTCGAGGTCAAGGGGCAGGGCGAGGCAGGGGAGGTGGGCGAGGAAGGGGAGTGGGGCGAGGCAGAGGTGGCCGAGGAAGGGGAGCGGGGCGAGGCAGAGGTGGCCGCGGTGGCCAAAATCAAGGAAACCAAGCACAAAATCAACAAAACGGGCCCAACGATCAGAACGACGAAGACAACTACGATGGCGACAATTACTATGACGACAATTACTATGACGACGATGACGGGCTAAATCGTGACATGGGCAGCCTGAATCTTCAAACTTCGGGTGGAAACCAAGACTCCTCCTCTGGCAATGCAGATTACCAATTCGAGTACACGCAAAACTCGACGTCCTCTTACAATGTGGATTACGAGTCGAACACACAAGTTGAAGTAACACAGAACACCTCGGTTGAGTATGATTATGATGCACAGCATTCGACTTCAGCTAACTACGATGCACAGTTCTCGGCGGAGGCAGGGTATGCAGAGGGAAATGGAGAGGGTGATGGGTACTACTACGACGAGAACGGGTACCAGTATGCTTTTGACGAGAATGGAGAGTCATACTACACAGGCATGGCGTACGACGAGAATGGAAACGAGTACACTTGGGACGAAAGCGGGAATGCTTACTACACTAGCCAAGAAGCCACTGGCGGTGAAGCAGGTTACGCAGAGGGTGATGGGCCCTACTACGACGAGAGCGGATATGAGTATGCGTATGATGAGAACGGAGCTCCGTATTACGTCGATTCGTATGATGAGAATGGGAATGCATACGCATATGACGAAAATGGGGATGCTTACTACACAGACCCACAGTATGATGGAACGGAAGCTGATCGTGGAGCGGGTACTCGTGAGGCTGCTGAGGGTGGCGAATATTACGCTTATGCTGAAGGTGACGATTATTATGCAAATGCTGAAGGTGGCGATGACTATGCAAATGCTGAAGGTGGTGAGTATTACGGCGCTGGTGAGGCTGCTGAGGGTGGCGAATATTACGCTTATGCTGAAGGTGACGATTATTACGCAAATGCTGAAGGTGGCGATGACTATGCAAATGCTGAAGGTGGTGAGTATTACGGCGCTGGTGAAGGCGGCGATTACTATGCAAACGCCGAAAGTGGCGAGTATTATGCAAATGCTGAGGGTGGTGAGTATTACAATGGTGGTGAAGGCGGCGAGTATTATGCAAATGCTGAGGGTGGCGAGTATTACGACGGTGTCGAAGGTGGAGAATACTATGGGGGTGCCGATGGTGAGAATTATTATGACGGCGATGGAGACACTCAGGTTGATGGTGGAGGCGAATCATTCTTTGGTGGAGGCGAATCATTCTTTGGTGGAGGCGATGCTGGTGGCGGTGATGCCGGAGGAGGATCATTGTTCGACATGGGAAGCTGGTTTGAATGATCCCAGAAGAACATGTGTAACATTCCATCCGGACCATGTTTCCAGTTCTGCACTGACCAGGTAAGATCAGCTCTTGTAGTTGATCATGCTTTACGTTTGTGCTAACCCACCTCACCATCCTTGCCGGCAAGCTCAGTCTCTTGGCACAATGAAAGCTTGGTAGGCCGTAATGTGGGTGCAATTTTGCTGAGAATCAGTAGACGTGGCCATGTTTTTTCTTTCTTTTAGTGATGAGGTGCTGGACTCTCACCATATCACATCAGAGCTGCTCCTTCATTCATTGTGCTGTTTTCCAGAGGAATGCTTATTCCTCATCGAAATCTTCTGTTGATATAGCTTCTGTTGATAGGAGTTCATGGTTCCATGTATTCATGTAAACAAGGACAAAACCTCTCAGCTTTGAAAGAAAGTTTAAGAGACGGTGCCTTCAATATCATTGTTTATGAATATTTGAGGGGAAAAAAGAAAAGAAAAGAAAAAATGCTGTGGGTGTAGAGCTAGGAAATAGCTGTGGTGTGTAGTTGCATGCAGCTGAGAATCACAGGAATTTTGGAAGATGTGAATGAAATAAGACAAATTCCATTACATTGTCGAGTCATTAACCTTTGAAATTTCTTATGGATATTGTGTTCCTTTGCAAGTGATTACAATCTTTTCTGATAAAATGTAGTATTATATTTATTGTTAGTTGTTTAAAAAGATCCTCAATATTATTGTTGGTATTATAATAATTCATCCGTGGAATGATCGAAAATGAAACATGTTTTCTAAACTTTGTTGATTTTTGAATTTCACTGAAATACAATATCTGAAGATTCAGCTCTGAAAAGATTTTGTACATCGAACAGATTCCACTGCAAAATGTGTCTATTTCTTCAATAAGACCTGTTATCTAAAGCAAAATTATATGACATGACAATTATGACTCGAGTATTTCACGTAAAATAGGAAAAAGGTGCCTACTCAACAGATTTTCGAATTACCAAAACTTTGCATTTTGCACTAATTACTGTAAAACAAACAGAAAAAAGCATTTTAGGCAAAGATCTTTGCCTGTAAAAAAAAAAACAAATTCTTGTCTTCAACTCACAAGTCATTTTTAAATTATCATTATGGATAAATCTGGATTGAATAAAACGAAGTCACAAAAATACCAAAACAATTGGTAGATGACTGATGTGTTGTTGGCCTTAATTACAAAAATACAAATAAAAATTCATATGTTGTAACATCAATGCCATTCTAAAATCGCTTTAAAACTTAAGTTTATTAATGAAAATATTTAATTGTATAGTTTACTAGAATTATGATGTTAAAAAATAATTTAACATTTATATGTGATTTATATATTATAGGCATATATTTCAAAATAAAAGTCAAATGAAACAAATGGATATGAGGGAGGTACTTAAATGAAAAAATTTCAAATAAACTTAAATGAATGTATTTTTCCTTCTTATACAACAAAAGTATAAAATAATAGTTCAACATCTCTCATGCAAACACATTGATCAGTGGTACATTCAGCATTGTTCAACTGACCTTTAGACACGTGTTGAGCTGCATAATATCCTGAAAACCCTTGAAAAATACAGAGGATACCATGAGGTTAAAGCAATTGGAATTTACCAACCTATGCCAACTTAGCATTCAATTGTTCAATAATACCAATATATACAATTAACTATGTTTGTTACTCATATTTCAATCAAAACTTTCAGTGGAAAAAAAAAAAAAAAAAAAAAAAAAAACGGAACAAAGAAAAAGGAAAGTAAAGAAAAGAAATAAGAAAATCCACCAGAAACAACTCTTTCTCATTCAAATTGGTATTTTACAATACACAAAACAATCTTTCTTCTGATAAGGTTTTGTCACAAAACTCAGCAATGTGACATTGAAACATCAACAGCATGCATCAGCACGCATCATCTATCTTTACACTGGCCTTGAAAACTCAGAAAAACACCACATTTAAGGTTGATTAAGACGATGTATAATACAGAACAATGTCATTGTTTAAATCACACCACAAATAAATGAATATGGGTGTGTATTCACACATACATACTCGCAAGTCAGTGCGTGCCTGCAATTACACACAGATATGAGTCAGTGAAGGAGAGAGTGTGTGTATATTTATATACTCAGACATGAGTCAGAGAGTGTGTGTGTGTTGATTTGTGCATGTACTTGTACTTATAATCTGAAATTGATGTGATATTTTTGAGTCGTAAAGTACGGCAGTATGACAGTGAAAGTTTGGTGTGCTTTTTGAGAGCGGATCTCGGAGAAAACTGCCACATTTGTGGACACAGAAAAATGCCACAACTCAACGACGCATCGTCTCCGCTTCGGGTGCAACCAGACAACAAGTGCAACAGCAGCACTCCACGAAAGCCATATCCTTGTGAATGGAAACATGGGAGCCAAAGTGTGAATGTAGCTTAATGCCGCGGCATTCGTTCATGGCGTGGATTGCGAACACACCTTTACTCCATTTTGTCATACTCAAACCACAGTTGATCAGTCTGTTATTTCTATGACACACACTCACTCACTCACTCACTCAAAATTTAGGAGCCCTGCGAAAATCTCAATGACTGGGTTCCTATTAAGAGCATTTCCACATCAGGCTAAAGACACATTCAAGGGAAACGGTCATCGCATATGTTGTGCGTCGAACTTTCACGAAACCAACAGTCATCGATCATAATATACGCTGTGGGACTCGATCATGGATGCAGTTTGGGTTTCAGCTCACGACAATGGTGAATGCAATGGAAGTGACGATCTCCTCAGTGAGAAGATGTGTATGATAGGTGAAAGCATCGTGTGCTGTGATGAAGCAGGGAGTTGGTTTTGGGCTTGAGGAGGACGTTGTAGCGAAGAGGATTGGTTGTTGCTGCTCAGGGAGATAGTTCCTTCTGGAAATGGTTTGGTGACGCGGCGATGAGTAGGAGGAGCAGACCCATGAGTTGGGTTAACCGGCGGAGGTTCATAATGTGGACGTTGAAAGGAGTGGGTTAGGGAAGATTAGGCAGGTGGTTACACAGGACTGGAGATTATGGAAAGCTTTTCCAAGGTAACCATGGTCAGAGGTCCAACATCTTGTTGATTTGGGATGGCTCGCTTCTGGTGCTATGGCGACACAAGAGCCGAAATGCGGACTGAATCGACGCATTGTCCTCTCGTAAGGTGCTGTAATCAGGGTTTGAAGTGTAATGGGTAGTAGGCGCAATGCGTCTTTGTGGATCGACAGATGATTCGTGTTGTTAGACCGAATCTGGGCTCCTGATTGCTGAAAGATTTGGGCAGAGTGTGTTGGCGGTGTAGTGGATTCATGTTTTGCGAATTCTGGCTAGTGTTTTTTTTTTGTAGGATGTAAAAATGGCTACTTTTATGAGTGTTAATTTGGCTCGATGTTTTGGTGAATTTTTGACTTGAGCTTAGTACCGAAGCTAGGAAAGGCATATGTGCAAATTGAAAGGGCAATGCAACCACTGCCATGCCGATTGAATAATCTTTTTAGTTATTTTTTGCCGGACTGTACGAACACCAAGCATGGTGAAGGGGCAAGATCTGATAAACTTGCTGCAGGATGAGACGTTAGTAGAAATCATGAAATATTTGGACGGAAGGGGTATCGACCGAGATGCTTACTCGTTGGTTTGTAAAAGATGGAGGACGCTGGAGAGTGCATGTCGCCATTTCTTAACCTTGGACGAGACGGGGCAGTCAGATGCATATTTAGCAAAGTTGGTTCAAAGATTCCCAAACCTGCGACAAGTTTGTGTAGACGAGGGATTACCTGTTCCTGTACCTATCAACGGCCGGCTCTCACATCGTCAAACGCTTTGTCCTCATATGATGAGGCCATTTCAATGGCCCGCTCTCACATAGTCAAACGCTTTGTTCTCATATGATGAGGCCATTTCTTGTAAGCCCCATACATCGAATTTGTGTTGCAGTTTACTTCATAATAAGTTATGGTTCCTTCAGGTCAAACATAATTCGATTTTAGCCACTTTTGAAGTTTTCTTTATAGCTAATCTCGGATATTGTGACAATTGAGAAACTTCCGAGATTACAATGATATCTAAAGATTTGAGAATGGTACACTCAGCAACATGCTGGAATCTGATAAAGAAGGTTGCTGATGTTCTTTAACGCCTCGATCTTTACTTTGAACGTTCTTTGTTGAATGTAATCTTCCTTTCGAGGATTCTGAGGATGAACTATTAGTCGAATGGCTGAATCATTGCGAGTGTTTCTTTGTTGGATATTCGTGGCAAGGTAAAGATGCAGGCACGACATTGCCCCGAAAGAGGAGGAGAAGTGGGCACCGCATGGTGATGAATTGTGAAGATGACAGAAACGATAATGGTTTGAGTAATTTTTCAGATATGGGGCTTCGATTTCTGGCGAAAGGATGCCCAATGTTGAGGGCTATCCCCAAGAGTTCATATTCAATTAGTTTACTTGACTCATTTATGTCATTGGATGCTGATTTAGCAGAATAGGAGAGGGTGCGTTAATTGCAATAGGTCAAGGATGTCACCAACTGCGGTTGCTAAATGTGAGTAGGTGCCATCAAGTGGGTGATGTGGAATTAAGCAACATTGCTCAAGGATGCCTTCCTTTCATGCATGTTGACGTTAGTGTTTGTCAGGTACGTCTACTATTGGACTTGAATACATCACGGCTTGATAATGTTTCTTGAATTCCCAATTGTCACAATAGAATATACAGGAATAATGTTTGACGTTATTATCATCCCCATGATTTCCTGAAATGCATTGAAACCTTGAAATGGTGCCTCCTGTGGTACAGAATGTAGGAGATACAAACCTTGCAACTTTGGGAACGGGTTGCCCTCTTCTTAAGGAGGTCATTTATTCACACTGCCGAAAAATAAGTGAAGTAGGCTTAGGCCAATTGGTGTCAAAGTGCCAAACTATAGAATCATCTCATATGGTGTACTGTTCGTGTGTAACCTCAACTGACATAGCGACAATGTCTGCCTGTTGTAATTCACTCAATAAGGTTGTGGTTGAGAAGTGAAAAATTATCGATCGCACCCAAAGAAGACATTCTACCATCTTAATAGAGCTCTGCACAGATCTATGACTAATTTTACATTTCTATTAATAGTAATAACTACTGCACTTAGGTCAAAAGAAGGCTTCACCACTGCAAGAGAAACCTCAATAATGTAGGAGAGATGGTAAGTTTTATCAAGCTCAAGTACGACACCTTTTTACAAAACAAACGTATTCTTCAATTTTGACATAGCTAGTATAAAAGCATTTAATCTTCGTGTGCCCTCCCATCGCTTCGAATTGCTCGAATCTGCGCTTACATACATGACGCATGCAAACAACGTGACATCTCTGTGCCGCACGCAAACAAGGTGACACCTCTTTGCCGCACGCAAACAACGTGAGAGCGAGGAGCCGCGGATGTTAGGTGATCCTGTGGTTTTCTATTTTTTTTGGTTCCGAGATTGTTATGATGGCTTTCTGTATTTCGAGTGTGGTGCTCGAGGTGATGCCCGGAAGCCAGACAATAGGGTTGATCGTAAGCTCATGTTTGGTGTATCTTATGCAAGCGCGTGAACAATCAAGAGGTTTTGGGTTTTTTTAAGAAGATTGAATATTGTAGATACTAGAAGTGATGATGTTAATCTAGCGGAAGTCCGAATCTTTTGCTATTGACTTGGGCTGTCTGGCATTCTTGCGTTGTTGTGTACTCAGGACTTGTTTGTCTGCTTGTTAATTTTGTGATTCCGGCTTCAAGGATGAGGATTGGAAGAAGATGACGGCGCATTGAACAGCGTATCACAATTGTATCCTGGCTAGACTTGTGCGCAATCGAATTGCGAGGTAGGAGCGGATCTGAATGATGTATAGGACGGAAGACTTCTATAACCTGGAATATGGTGAGATCATCTTCAAACTTGTTCATCTACGAAGATTCTTAGTCCATTTTGAGGATTGAGCTTTCTTTGACTCACAGTTGCAATCTCTCTGTGTCATATGTCTTGAAAGACTAAATGTGCTCAACCTGTTTGTGTCATATATTTTGAATGACTCAGTGTTCTCAACAGAAGATCTGACCTGGGGCTCTTCCACTGCAGGTAATATTGAACTTTAGTCGGAGATTACATTACACTTGCAATGCTCTTGATTGAACTGTCAACAGAACATCGTACTCAGATTTGGTAACCTCCTGACGAGCTTCACCGGGGCTTGTTATCAGAGTCAACGCACCAGCTTCCCCGAGATAATAAATTTCTCCGGTGTCCCCGATCAATCACAACAAGAAGGATGACACGGGATCGACTGCAGGAATCTCTTTCGTAAGAGCAAAGTGTCACGAATATCCGAGATAAGTAGCAAAAAACAGCACTTTCACCTTTGAAGAGGAACACCTGAAGCATAACTGCGGTTGTCCGAACCAACCAATGAGTAGAAGCTTCCATTCACTTGTAACACGTTCTGGAAGACCACGTCTTTCACCATCGACCACAAGTCCAGTTTGGAACGACACTTATCAGATAACGTCGTCCTGGGCAAGCATGTGATAGACAGAAGAACGAGGAAAGGCGATCCTGGATACTAGTTTTTTTTCTGTTTTATACTTTCTTCTCGTGTTTTTTTCCGCTTCTATCTCACCATCTTCTATTTCATGCAGTTGGTCACCGAAGCCGGGCGAATCTTTTGTCTTGTTTTTTTTTTTTTTTTTTTTTTTATCTTACTTCTGATAACAATGTCGAGTAGATATTGTAAGCCCTGTGTGCGTGTGTGTGTAGTGCTGAAAACACCATTGTTTGTTAGTAGGTTCAGTATTGGGTCACCTCGGATTTGCTTGAACTAGTCTCTTGCATTCATTGTTGAATTTTGAATTTGGAGGTGGAAATCGTCGTGTTGGAGCCTCGCCAACTTTGCTTTCGGACGACCTCAGAATCAGTCAAATTGGAGTTAGAACGAAACTTTTTGGCAACAATTGAAGTGGTAAACTGGCCCTTCGCACCTTGGATTACCCAACCAACTTATGAGAGAAGCAATGATGAACTGTGAAATATTGGATTGTTACAAATACTGGTGTTGTTAAACTTCAGCAACAAGCGAAGGATTGTTCCAGCAGTTGGTGTCGTAGTCTAAGGTGAGAAAGCGCGTTACTATCCATTTTTTGCATAAATTCCGTTATCCCGATTGGTTTTACCAGTTACTATACGTCACATAATCTGGTTTATTTTTAGAACTAGTTCAGTCAAGAATGTAGTCGTGATACATTTCACATTTGAGTGAACTATTGTAAATTATCTTCATTTATACTTAATTTGGATGTTTGTCTTTGGTACACAGTTGTTTGTTAGTAGGCTGATTCTCGTCCCTTGGATGATACAACCCATCAGTGTTGTGTTCATTGTGTCCAGGGTATCAAGCAATCCTTACAGCTTCGCCCCCTGCGTCCCCTTGTACACTTCCCTCCGCCCTCTCGCAGCAAAACCCTCGCTGCAGTGTGCTGTCTTCTCGCTTTGAATTGCTTGAATCTGCGCTAAAATACATGACGCCGTGACAACTTTGTGCCGCATGCAAACAACGTGAGAGCGAGGAGCCATGGATGGTAGGTAGTGATGTGGATTTGTTTTCGGTTCCGAGATTGTTGGGTTGGCTTTCTGTGTGTTTCGAGTATGGTGCTCGAGGTGATGCTCGGAAGGCAGACAATAGGGTTGATCGTAAGCTCATGTTTGGTGTATCCAATGCAAGCCCGTGAACGATTGAGAGGTTTTGGGTTTTTTCAAGAAGATTGAATATTGTAGATATTGTAAGTTATGATGTTAGTCTAGGGGAAGTCTGATTGGCAAGAAGAGGACTTTGCATTGAACAACATATCACAATTGTATCTTGGCTAGGCTTGTGTGCCATCGGAATGTGAGATGGGAGTGCTTTAAAGGACGGAAGAGTTCTTCAAGTTGGAGTATGGTGAGAACATCTTCAAACAAGGAAGATGTTTAGGAATGTCTATTGAGCCATTTGTTATATAGGGTGGACTTTTCATTGATTGATTACTTGATATCTTTCATTTGTATAATGAGTGATGTAGAAAACATAAAGGATTGGAAAAAGAAAAGCTTATAAACTTCATTAGAGGATTAGATATCACTTAAAATAGAGGAATGTCATGGCATATCATATTTATAATAAGAATTAGTGTTATTAGATAATTATTTTTAAGATGGATGGCATGTTGAGAAAATGATCTAGTTTATTGTTTATCAAAGATATGAATCAATTTTGTTTGTATGAAGCATGTGTAATAGTCTACATATTAATCAATTTTGTTAACATATATGTTGTCTTTGTGTGAAGATTTTGTGGCAATTGAAGAACATTTCAAGAATCTATGGTTGCATGAGTAAGCAAAGGAGTATACTCTAGAATTCATTGCCAGTTTTATATTGAGGTAAGAATATCATTGATATTTATGAAAAGGAATCACAATATCATTTATTTTGTGTAGATTATTTTTTTTCCATATATATATATATATATATATATGGGAATATTTGTTATATAGAAAAGATTAGAGGTAAGAAAAATTTATGAAAAGGAATCACAAATGTTATTAGAGATTTATTTAGTCAATATAAAGTTTATTAGTATGAAGCATGTGTAATAGTTTAAATACATATAAACTTTACACATATCTTTGTTACTTTGAATTTTTTGGTGATTAAAATTTATTGAAATGTTATAAATTGTGCACTAAGGTTTTATTCATGTGATTGAAGGCGAATTATACATATTTTCCAAATATTTGCAATGGCCTATCTTGTAAAGATGGTTATGAAGCATGTCTTAGTAATGTGGAGGTTTTTATTTGGTTGTTGGACATTGGGATTTGCACTTGCAATGGAATTTTGTAACAAGTTTGTGGAGGATATTGGAGTTGTACTCAAAGCAAGAGAAGTTGATATTGGAGATGTGCTTACTCAATGCTATAATTACAATCAAGAAATGGAGGTGTTATTGAAGACTAAACTTGTATTGAATAAAAAACAATGTGTAAATATTTGCCAACCACTTGGCGGTGTTATCAAAGTATTTGAAGTCTTGAGAGTTTGTTGCAATGGAAGAAGTGAGTTTAAAATTCTATTTTGCGAATTTCAATGTATAACATTGAGGATATACAAGTTGATAAAAGCTTGTGCACAAGAACAATGGTGTGAAGCAAGTATCCTTCAAATGGAAAACAAAGAAATGTTTAGAGAGTTATTATGGGACTTGAAGACTTGTTATGATGTGGGAATTGATCTATTATCAAAGAAGTATCCTAAAAAGATGGAGGACATTCTACTTGTATTGTTTGATGTTTCAACACGTGAAGAAGTGAAACATGATGGTAAAGAACTTTTCAAAAGATTGGACCATAAAAGTAAAGATGTTCAATTTAAAGATTGTGAATTGGCAAACTATCTATCAACAAGATTGATGAACTTGTGGTGTGTAGATGGTGGAGAGATGGATTTTTTGCAAGTATCAAGTGATATCAAAAGTTTAGAGCTTGGGAGAATTATAAATGAGGGTGCATTTGAAAAAGTTTATGAATCAAGTGGTTTTGGACTTGCAACTGCAACAAAATAATGGATGCTAGTTGGAATGATATGTTCATGAAAGAAGTGGGTATCTTGGCTATCACAAGTCATCCAAACTTGATCAAATATTATTATGCAGCCAAAAGTAATGCAAATGAGAATAGAGAGTCTTCAAAGATGAATAATTCAAGGAAAAAAGTATACTTGGTGATGGAATTGATGCAAACAAGTTTGAGCAACATATTGGAGGCAAAAAGAGCAATGCCATACTACTTTCTTATTGATATTATTTATCAAATTGCAAGAGGAATGTGTTATTTACATGACATGCAAATCGCACATCAAGATTTAAAGCCGGAGAATATACTACTTAATGTTATAGATGATGATAAATCTAGTCATCGTTTTCATTATGCTGTTGTGAAGTTGATTGATTTTGGTTGTTCAAAGATCAATGTGGGTAGGAATCCAAAAGTTAAAGAAAATAAATACATATATGGGACTTTAAGATACACAGCTCCAGAGACATTGAAAAGTACAATGGAATCGACAAAGATGTGTGCTTTTGAAGCAGATGTGTATTCTTTTGCAATGATATGTTCTAAGATTCTTTCAGGTGAAGATCCATTTGATGGTATCAACACTAAAAAAGAATTATTGAAAAAGATTGAGAAAGGTGAAAGACCAAAGTTGCCTTCAAATTGTGATGATTTGAGTAAATTGATTGAAGAATGTTGGACTTTGAATCCTTCTAGAAGACCTAGTTTTGGGGACATTTGCAAGAGACTCGTAACATTGAAGAAAAAATACTTGGTGGGAATTGATGTAGCCAAAACACCTCATTTTGGAGCATTTAAGAAGGAAAATCATGAAAGTAGTAAATCAAAAGATGTTAATATTGGTGATACATTGGTAAGTTTTATATTAGAGATTTGGTGTGATATAAATGTTACATTGATTTGTTTGATTTCAAGATTTACACATTCAAATATGTATAAGTTAATAAAGTTGTTTTGTCAAAATATGAGTATGTGGTAAGATTAGTTTTTAAAGTCTATTGCATGAATTGTATATTTTTTAACATCTTGATTTGGTTATTTGCATAGGTACATGATTGTAAAGACAATATAATGGGTGTAGAACAACGTTTGTCAAACATCAAACAACTATGCAAGGATGGAATAAATGCATTGTGTTTTGTTGGTATGGGTGGAATTGGAAAGACCACATTAGCAAAGATTACATTTGATACCATGCGACACATGTACAATGTATCATGCTTTGTTGAAAGTATTCAAAAGAAGGATAGTGCTCTTTCAATAATTTGCAAAGTTTTGAACCAACTAAACTCTGAAAAAAAACCAAGGAGTTTAGAAGAAGCACAAGTTATGATGAAAGAAGTATTGATGAGCAAAAAGTTTATGTTGGTGTTGGATGATTTGAAGGAGAAGAGTCAAATCAATGATGTAGTACTTACAGATATTCTATGTTCTAACAAAGGCAACACATTAATTGTGACAACTCGAAATTGGGAGGTAGTAAAAAGCTACCCTACAAAGATTCATAAATTTGATATTGGAGAACTTGACAAAGATGCAAGTTTGAAGTTGTTTACAGCTTATTCTTGTAGGGATGGTGATGAATTGCCAAAAGAACTTATTGAGGTTGGCAAAGAGATTGTAAGATCTTGTAATGGACTACCCTTGAGTTTGAAAGTTTTGGGATCATTTTTAGGAGGACAAAGGAGGTTGAGATGTTGGGAAAGAGCTTTGCAAAAGTTAAGAAGAGGAAGACCTTTGGATGGAGATGAAATAGATAGTGAATATAAGCTATGGATTATTTTGAAGATAAGTTTTGATGCCATGAAAGTTGAAGAAAAGAACATGTTTTTGGACATATGTTGCTTCTTTTGTAACAATGTGAAATGGGGTGGTACAATGAAAGAAACCATAATACAAATATGGACCAATAAGAAAAGTGGAGATGAAGAGCTGGATGCAAGTATTGTTTTGGACATGTTGGTTCATCAATCAATGATAAAAATAGAAAAAGATGGAGTTATAAAAGTGCATGATCAATTACAAGATATGGGACGAAAGATTGTTGAAGAAGAAAAAGAATACAAAGACACACGAATTTGGAATGCAAATATGGTGCCAATACATGGAATAACAACAAAGGTAAGACTTTCAAATAGTGGTAGAATAACTTGAATACAATTATTGACAAAATAAATAATTAAGAAAAATTAGAGTAAAAGACATTTGAATTTTTATTAAGAACAATATTACTAAACTTATTTGTTGCAATATGAAATACTTAGAGATTTGTACATGGTTTAAGTAGTTGATAAAGCTATGGATTGTGATTTCTAATTATTCTCTTGTCATGTTGATTAGTTGGAAGGTATAATTCTTGATTATAATATGAAAGACAACTTGAGAAGATTTATAATGAAAGGATTACACTTTTTTTCTTTACGAATTCTTATATGTAACATTGATGCAAAGCAAAGTAAAGATGTCTTTGAAATACTTATGTTATTGGTAGAAAATGCATATAAGTTAAAAGTTTTGTTACTAAGAGGATATCATTATCGTATACCTTATGGGTTGGACATGAGCAAAATAAAGTTGCCCTCTATAATGTGCAGTGAAGAGTTTTGGAAAGTATTTGAAGAATTGACAATATTGAGTCTAATAGGATGTACTTTTGGTGAACCACTACCTAGAACATTGTTTACATCTAGTACGTTGATGAGACTTGATCTAGATGGATCTATTGAACTAAATGTTGTACTAAAAGGCTTTAAAAACCTTAAAAATTTAACAATCATGAGATTAGTTAATAATAAAACTTTAAATATAATGTCAAAAGAATGGACAGATGTAATTTCTCTGAAAACACTTGATATGACTAGATGCACAAGCTTGATAAGCTTGCCAAATGAAATAGCAAATCTTTCTTCTTTAGAGGAACTTTATTTAAATGGATGCTCAAGCTTGAAAAGTTTGCCAAATGAATTGGCAAATCTTTCTAATTTAAGAAGGCTTGATTTAAGATATTGCTCAAGCTTGACGAGCTTGCCAAATGAATTGGCAAATCTTTCTTCCTTAAAAGAACTTGATTTGAGTAGTTGCTCAAGCTTGAGAAGATTGCCAAATGAATTGGAAAATCTTTCTTCTTTGATAAGACTTGATTTGAGTGGTTGCTCAAGCTTGATAAGCTTGCCTAATGAATTAAGAAATCTTTCTTCTTTGGAAGAACTTGATTTAAGTCATTGCTCAAGCTTGATTAACTTGCCAAATGAATTGGCAAATCTTTCTTCTTTGACAAGACTTGTTTTGAGTGGTTGCTCAAGCTTGACAAGCTTGCCAAATGAATTAGAAAATCTTTCTTCTTTGGAAGAACTTCGTTTAAATAATTGCTCAAGCTTAACAAGCTTGCCTAATAAATTAAGAAATCTTTCTTCTTTGGAAGAACTTGATTTAAGTCATTGCTCAAGCTTGACTAACTTGCCAAATGAATTGGCAAATCTTTCTTCTTTGACAAGACTTGATTTGAGTGGTTGCTCAAGCTTGACAAGCTTGCCAAATGAATTGACAAATCTTTCTTCTTTGACAAGACTTGATTTGAGTGGTTGCTCAAGCTTGACAAGCTTGCCAAATGAATTGACAAATCTTTCTTCTTTGACAAGACTTGATTTGAGTGGTTGCTCAAGCTTGACAAGCTTGCCAAATGAATTGACAAATCTTTCTTCTTTGACAAGACTTGATTTGAGTGGTTGCTCAAGCTTGACAAGCTTGCCAAATGAATTAGAAAATCTTTCTTTTTTGGAAGAACTTGGTTTAAATCATTGCTCAAGCTTGACAAGCTTGCCAAATGAATTGACAAATCTTTCTTCTTTGACAAGACTTGATTTGAGTGGTTGCTCAAGCTTGACAAGCTTGCCAAATGAATTGACAAATCTTTCTTCTTTGACAAGACTTGATTTGAGTGGTTGCTCAAGCTTGACAAGCTTGCCAAATGAATTGGCAAATATTTCTTCTTTGACAACACTTTATTTGCGTGGTTGCTCAAGCTTGAGAAGCTTGCCAAATGAATCGGTACATATTTCTTCTTTAACAATACTTTATTTTCATGGTTATGTAAGCTTGACAAGCTTGCTAAATGAATTGGTAAATCTATCTTCTTTGATGACGCTTGATTTAAATGGTTGCTCAAGCTTGAAAAGCTTGCCAAATGAATTGACAAATTTTACTTCTTTGACAATACTTGATTTGAGTGGTAGGTTAAGCTTGACAAGTTTGCCAAATGAATTCACAAATCTATCTTCTTTGAAAGAACTTGTTTTGAGTCATTGCTCCAGCTTGACAAGCTTGCCAAATGAATTGACAAATCTTTCTTCTTTGAAAGAACTTGATTTGAGTAGTTGCTCAAGCTTGAGAAGCTTACCAAATGAATTAGCAAATCTTTCTTCTTTGACAAGACTTGATTTGAGTGGTTGCTCAAGCTTGACAAGCTTGCCAAATGAATTGACAAATTTTTCTTCTTTGACAAGACTTGATTTGAAAGGTTGCTCAAGCTTGACAAGCTTGCCAAATGAATTGGCAAATCTTTTTTCTTTGACAAGACTTTTTTTGAATGGTTGCTCAAGCTTGACAAGCTTGCCAAATGAATTGACAAATCTTTCTTCTTTGACAAGACTTGATTTGAGTGGTTGCTCAAGCTTGATAAGCTTGCCGAATGAATTAGAAAATCTTTCTTCTTTGGAAGAACTTGGTTTAAATAATTGCTCAAGCTTGACAAGCTTACCAAATAAATTGACAAATCTTTCTTCTTTGACAGTACTTGATTTGAGTGGTTGCACAAGCTTGACAAGCTTACCAAATAAATTGGAAAATCTTTCTTCTTTGACAGTACTTGATTTGAGTGGTTGCATAAGCTTGACAAGCTTGCTAAATGAATTGACAAATCTTTCTTCTTTGAGAAGACTTTATTTGAGTTGTTACTCAAGCTTGACAAGCTTGCCAAATGAATTGACAAAACTTTCATCTTTGACAAAACTTGATTTGAGCGATTGCTCAAGCTTGACAAGCTTGCCAAATGAATTGACAAAACTTTCATCTTTGACAAAACTTAATTTGAGCGGTTGCTCAAGCTTGACAAGTTTGCCTAATGAATTAAGAAATCTTTCTTCTTTGGAAGAACTTGATTTAAGTCATTGCTCAAGCTTGACTAACTTGCCAAATGAATTGGCAAATCTTTCTTCTTTGATAAGACTTGATTTGAATGGTTGCTCAAGCTTGACAAGCTTGCCAAATGAATTGGCCAATCTTTCTTCTTTGACAACACTTGATTTGAGTGGCTGCTCAAGCTTGACAAGCTTGCCAAGCAAATTGGCTAATCTATCTTCTTTGACCACACTTGCTTTGAGTGGTTGCTCAAGCTTGACAAGCATGCCAAATGAATTGTCAAATCTTTCTTCTTTGAGAATACTTTTTTTGAGTGGTTGCTCAAGTTTAACAAGCTTGCCAATTGAATTGGCAAGTCTTTCTTCTTTGAGATATCTTTATTTAAATGAATGCTCAAGCTTGACAAGCTTGCCAAAAGAATTGGCAAATCTTTCTTCTTTGACAAGACTTGATTTGAGTGGTTGCTCAAGCTTAACAAGCTTGCCAAATGAATTGACAAATCTTTCTTTTTAGACAATACTTGGTTTGAGTAGTTGCTCAAGCTTGATAATCTTGGCAAATGAGTTGACAAATCTTTCTTCTTTGAAAACATTCTATTTGAGTTGTTGCTTAAGCTTGACATACTTGTCGAATGAATTATCAAATCTTTCATTTTTAAGAAGTCTAAGTTTAAGTTGTTGCTCAAGCTAGATAAGATTGCCTAATGAATTAGAAAATCATTCTTCTTTAGAAGAACTTTATTTAAATGATTGCTCAAGCTTGATAAGCTTACCAAATGAATTAACAAATCTCTCTTCTTTGACAATAATTACTTTAAGTAGTTGCTTAAGCTTAAAAAGCCTGCCAAATGAATTGACAATTCTTTCTTTGAATAGTTGCTCAAGTTTTTCAAGCTTGCCAAATGAATTGGAAACTCTTTTGTCTTTGATTGAATTGAGTATCATCTAGAATAACATGGTGGTTAAAATTCTTTTCAAGGTTTATAATTTGGTATTTTTATAATTCTTGAATAATGTGATTGCTTAATCTTTATAAGCTTAGAAAATCCCTTTTTTTAACAACTCTTTCTTTGAGAATTTTTTCTAATTTCATAGGCTTGTCAAATAACTTAGCAAATCTTTCTTGTTTAACAACAATTTATTTGAGGGATTGATCAAAATTGACTTGCTTGTGAAATGAATTGAAAAATATATCTTTTTCGAAAGGATTTAATTAATGTCTTTTTAAAACTATTTGATATAGGTATTATTAATAATATTTTTAGAGAGTATTAGTTCTAAAATATTATGGATTTTTTAATACTTTTTTTTATAGTTTTATTAAATATATTTGTCTTGAAAAGAATTTTATAATAGTATTATATTGAGATTTAATCATATTAAAAAGATATATTTTCAGACTTGATCTTTGTGTTAAATAAATCAGACGTAATTTATTTTATATCATGAAATATTATTATAATTTTTATTCTTCACATGGTTTTTAAATAATTAATTTTTTTTAATTTAATTCTTAAAACTATAATAATATTAATAACAATTTTTGTTTCTTTAGTATAATATTTTCAATAACAAATTATTGAAAGTATTAAAAACTAGCACTTGAGAGAGTGCACATAGTAAATAGGAGGTGTATTTTTAGTAAATCTCTTTAAATAGCTTAAATATTATATTTTTTATATACAAAGTCATTGCAAATATTTTAAAGATTATCGATCTATTTATTAATTTATTTTATTGCCTTGCCATAGTAACTTTATCAAAAAAACTTAAATAGTATAATTTTCTTAGATCTATTTTGTTATTATATGACTTAAGTATTATTATGTTTCTAAATCAATTTTAAATTTATTCTTATTTTAAAGAAGGAAGAAATGTTTTATTTAAAAGTTGAAAATTCTATAAAAGATATATTTTTAAACTTTATTCATATTTTTAGATTAATTGAGTATTATAATGATCTGAAAAAAATCATAATTATATTTCTTAAAAGTAATTATGACTTTTAAATAGTTTAAATATAGCATTATTATTATGTAATCACATGATTTTTGATTTTCTTAAGTAGAAACTAATATTTTAGCTTGATAAAGTTTTCCAAAAAAAGTTCAAAAAATTAAGAATATTAAAATTTCAACTTTTTTATAATTTTAGAAATTTTATGCAATATTTATTCTGTAAAATACCTCTCTTAATGAAATTTATATTGTATTAACTTTTAAACTTAATATTGCTGCAAAAAAATCTAAATTCACTAAGTACTTATTTCTTTGTTTGTTTGTTTCATTGTATGAGTTTTTTTTTGCAATATGATGGTCCTTAAATATCTTTAATAACTCTAATCATCATTTTCGAATGAGAGAGTGTTATCTTTTATGACTCTAATCGACAAAGTAGGATTTTATTTGATTTAAAGAAAGAAACCAAGTAGCCATGAGTATGCATGATTTGATATAAATGTAATGATAGAAGACCTTAGTAGTGTGAATAGATGTGGATAAGTAGACTTGTATATGTGTGTAGGTACTTTGAATAAACAAATATTATTCTTCTTTCTTATCTTATTCAACAAAGTCAAATATTTTCTTTAGACTTGAAAAAATCTTAAAGTAATAAATATATTTTGACTTAGGATATGACATGTATTTCTTTTAATAATTAATTTAATATAAATTTTATTAATATAAACATAATAAAACATATTAGTTTAAAATATGAAAACATAAAATTGTGGAATATATTGTTATACATAAAATTATTAATGAGTTTGTTGATTTTTTTAACATTTAAAGTATATTTTTTTTTCTAAGACTAAAAACACACCTTTTAGAATGTATTAGAAACTAATATTTTATACAAAGTCTTTTACTATTTTGTAGATATGTAATGCAATCAATTGCAGTAATATTTGACAACCATGCAATATTTCATGTTTCTTTATTACAGAAGTTGCAAGGCTTCCCTATACCACATTGGCCTTCTCTTCACTGTGCTTCTTAGCTTATTTTACATCAAGCAAAAGCTCTTTCTCTTCCTCCTCGGCCAATCGCTATCTATGCTTCTTCAATTTGTTAAATCTCTTCAATTAAAAATATAGTCATGCCTCAAGAACTTTTAGGGTAGTGTTGTCCATGGATTTAAGAAGGAGCAAATTTTGGTTAGCTTGACCCACTGCCTTCAATATCTACACCTCCACTATATTATTTGTAGCCTACACTTGTCTATACAATGCACCTTTTCTTTGCTTTGATTGCATCTAGTTGTCTTTGGTTGTCTTAGTAATCCATGATTGATCTTGAAATACCTTCTTTATGTCTATAATCTTTGTGTGTTCTTACTTTCATATCATCTCACTTGATTGCCTTGCATTTTTTTCCATCCTATCAATGCTATCGATCTTTGAGGCAAATTGTATAGGTGCCTTCTTCTTCAAAGTTAGAGGCTTCACCTACAACCACCTATCAGCGTATTTTAGATGCTCCTTCATCAAAACCCAATAATATTTGTATTCAAAATTTGTCCCCTTTTAACTCTTTTGCTTGTAGAACTTGTGTATAAGGCTGAAGATATTGAGTGTATTTGTGCCACTTTTGCAAACATTTTATAATTGTGTATAGATACCTTTCCACTTGTATACATTATATTTTATATAGCTCCATTTTGTCATTAACAAACTTTGCAACCTCCCATCGACATGCCTATACTCATTATACTGATTTGAAATGTACTCCCAAACATCCCAACTCTATATTGGTTGCCAACAATCCTATCTTGCAATACATACAATACAATTGTTCCTTCTTCTTACATCAATATATCATATCCTTTACTCCAAAGTGTACTAAACCTCCTTTTGCAACTTTGGAAATTAATTTATTTCCTACTATCATGGAGTCTATGCCAAAAAAGAAAAAATTTGGTCAAAATCTTGATACTTAGGCATCTAACATAAAAAGAGTCACCATAGCAAGCTATTAAAAATAGTTTCCTTCTTGCCATGGCTATCCTTAATTTGACCATTGAACAGTCTATAGTCAAATTTATTGTTGATTCCAAGAATGTGCATGACTTGATGGACTATCTCCTCATGTGTGAAGGTCGATATAGGTTTGCAAATCACAAGTGAAAGCCTTCACACAGATCAATTTTAAGCCTTTGTTCTAACTAGTTTTTTATAGAAATAATTTTGATTTTTTTTCTTAGGCTTACATTATTAAAAGCTCCATAATGGCTTTGTATAGTATTCACTAGATATTTACAATGTATTGTCAAAAATTGTGTAATATAATTGACTATATT